AAATTTTATCAGAATATGTTAAAACAGATTTATTTCTAAGATAAAATTTAAGAAAAAATTAAATGAATTTTAAATTATGTTAAATCTTTTTAAATCTAATTATGGCTTCAAAGTTTTTTTTTAAAAAAGAAAAAATCTTCAATTTTAATCCTAAAAAGCTACACGTAAAAAATATTCTTCTCGTCTAGCTTTTTGAAAGATTAATTAATTTTTTAAATAAATTTATATATTTATTAATTAAATGATATATAAATAAAAAATATTTTTAAATTATGAGTAACATATAAATACATTCAGGTTTAAATTTATGATATTTTATAAAAAAGTAGATATATTCATATGAAATGTGATTAATAAATAAAATTAAATTTAATTATATATAAAGTACGTAATAATAATTAATATATACTTTAAAAAAAATAAAAATATAGACATTGATGAAGAATAATATATATTTGAACTATATACTATGAATGTGTTTTTAAGAAGACACCTCTTTAAAACTCTATAAGTCAAACCCTTTCTCTTTCCTCTGACGCCTGCAAATATGCTTAAAGCTCACACGAGCCTATAATTTGGCACGTGCCAACCATGAATGAAATTATGAAGAAGCCTCCAAAAATTCAACCAACCAGTTCGTTGAACGTAGAAGCTCATAATTCCCACCTGTCTGCTTACAAAATTCCATCTCACGAACTTGAATTCATTTCCGCACCAAAACCTTCTCAACAATACCACCCATCATCATCATCATCCGAGTTATCTTCTTCATCTCTCACATGGCTATCTCCATCTTCCCAAAATTCCAGATTCTGGCCATTTTCTTCCTATTTTTATCACTCTGGTTCATCCCTTCAACTACCCATCTTCAATCAGACGAAGAAGGGTTCATTTCTGTGCTGATTTCTAGTAAAGGTCTGGAGTTTGCTAAGAACTTTCTCATAGAAAAAGCACTCTCCTCCATGATTCCACTTCAACTCTCTGATTTTGAGAAGAAGGTGAAAATCCCAGCTATTGGCCAAGTCCAGATTCTTCTTTCTGATATTACGCTTTACAGTTTTGAGATAGCTTCTTCAGATGTTGAAACTGGGGAAGGAGATATTGTTTTCGTGGCTAAGGATGCTGCTGGGAATTTAAGTATGAACTGGGCGTATTCTTACCGTCCTAGGTTTGTCCCCATTGCAATTTCGGATGATGGTGATGCCTTGGTTCAGGTATGGAAATATAAGTGTTGATGTGAGTTGATGTTGGAAATATTTTGTGTATATCTTGGAGAATATTCTATGCATAGAGAGATATTATTGGGGAAAATACTATTACTCTGTCTATAAAGTTTTATAACTTTATTGGCGTATTCGAACCACGGTAAATCTTGTTTTTTTTTTTTTTTTAATATATTTTGCTCTTTACTTTGTGTGGTTGTGCGTGTATCGAAGATTTTTTTTATCAACAGTAAAAATATATAAGCTTAGTTTATAAGCCTTTCAATAGCTTATTAGCTAATGGGCTTATTTACAAATAAGCTGTAGTCATAAGCTCTTCAATTGGTTATTCGCTAATGGGTTTGTTGACATTTAACTGTTTGAAAGCTCAATTCATATGTTGGTACTTAACTGAGAGGGCACGGTTGTTTGATTTAGCTTATAATATGTAAGAGTTTGTGGGCTATAGTTATAAGCTCCTGAATAGCTTAATTAGCAAATGGGTTTAGGAAATAAATTTTAGCTGTTTGAATAATGTGAGTTTACATGTTGTTACTTTGTGCTAACTTATAAAATATGAGAGCTTACTAGCTGTTGTTGTGAACTCTTTGATATCTTAATAGCTAGTGGGTTTATCGACAAATGAGTTGTTTAGCTGTTCAAAACTCTGAGTTTATATGCCGTTATTGGATTAGACGTCATAGTTTTTTTGGCTTGGGGTATAAATGTAAGAGTTTAGAAGCTGTAGTATATAAGCTCTTAAGTAGCTTATTAGCAAGCAAATGGGTTCCGAAAATAACATTTGAATAATTAAGTCTGTTTGTTGTCACTGGATTTAGAGGGCATAGTGGTTTTGCCTAGCTTAAACTGTAAGAGCGGTAGCTATAAATTCTTCAATAGCTTACTAGGTAATGAGCTTGTTTAACATTTCAAATAATACGAGCTATTATGTTGTTACTGAATTTAGAGGGCATAATTGGCTTAGCTTATAAATGGTAAGGTTTACAATCTGTACTTATAAGCTCTTTAGTAGCTAATTAGCTAATGGGCTTATTTTCAAATGAGTGTTTTAACTGTTTGAATAATGTGACTTTAGATGTTGTTACTGGATTTGGAGGGCATAGTGTTTTTTCTGTTTCTTTTCCTTTTCTAGCTATAACTGATTGGTAGCTTTTCTTGTTTTATATGTTAGCTGAAGTTATACAGTTTTCTCTACAAAATTTTCAAGTTTCTTTGATGATGGGGATGTGAGCATTAAGTAGTAGGCAAATATGAGGCTTAAAATATCAATAACTATAATCAAAACTAGCTTAATGGTGCAGAACATTTTTAAAAAGGTGAGTTAGAACGGAGGGGAGGAGTCTAGGCTGGGACTGCAAAAGGGTAAAATTAGCTGTTGAATCCTGTTCTAAAAGGTGTCTCTGTTGGTGATTACCTTCCAAGTGCTCTTCAATAGAGAAAGTTTAACTAGCTAGTGCTGCTTTTTTGCAAAGGTTGAAGGCATTAAAGTGGAAATTGCAGTTACTTTGAAGGACAGAGATGGAACACTTAGGGTTTCTCCCTTGCACTGTCAGTGTCATGTGAAAGACATCTCTATAGAGATGGATGGTGGCGCATCTTGGCTATATCAAGGGTAGGAAACTCTTATCCGTAATGTATTGTTCTTTTGAGGAACTATAGCTTGTCCCAGTTTCTTGTCATAATTAGATTTAATAATGCTGCATATTATACTTTGCTGGTGTCTGTTTTATTGTTTGAAGTAGCTTCACCCCTGAAAGAAAAATTTCAGTTCTTGTTTCCAACTAGCAAAACTGCTTTTTGCCAAACAGGCCAATACCAAAGGAAACTAAAAATTTTGATAATGCCTAAAAATTTAAAATATTATTGTTTCCTTTTATTGTTTCTGATCTCTTTTTATTATTGGTTGGTAACTATATGAATTCATTTTCTTTCCTTAGAAGTTGGTAACAAGATATTTAGCTTCCACTGGTATTATCATCATTAGCGATGATGGCAATATTTAAAAAGAAGTTTCTTGTTTTATGATTGGTTTTTAGTGCATATTTGCTAGTGCTTCCACTGGTAAAACCATCATTGGCGAGCATGGCAATATTCAAAAAGAAGCTTCTCGGTTTCCTTCTTCTCTCTTAAGCTTCCTATTGTTCTATCACTGTTTGGTTATTCAACTTCACTTGCGCAACTTTTGACTTGTACATTTAATTCAATCCTTGGTTTAAAAACCATACCATTGGGGGAATTTCATATTTCCATTTGTTTTGTTAAGATGATACGTAATTTATTTTTATTCCAAAACAAACTGAAGTTGAGGAAAAGTTACATCTTACTTAACTCTTTAAGGAATCTTATCTTGGATATATCATAAAACTATTCTCCGGAAAACCTTGAGAGTTGGTCAATATTTGGCAAAGATGGTCATCTTAAATGTGATACAAAGATCTATTTCTTGGCCAATGTTTCAATTTGCCTTATCTACAGTTTTCTAGGGACTGAATTTTATGGCCTTCATGCCGCTATAGTTGAATTAATAACATAATTCTTGCCTTTAATGCTACATTTCCAGGGTGGTTGATGCTTTTCAATGGAAAATAGTATCTGCAGTCGAGGATGCTGTTTGCAAGAAAGTCAGAGAAGGAATAGACAAGCTTGATTTGTTGTTGCAATCAGTTCCAAAACAAAAAAGGATTGATAACATTGCTTCGCTGAATATCACTTTCGTGAATAATCCTGTTTTGAGTAGTTCTTCTATAGAACTTGAAATTGATGGTCTATTCACAACAAATAAACAAATTATGTTTTCGGAATATTACAATGAAGGATCTCGGAGAAGTGGTTTCTGCAATCATCTGCCTCGGATGGTTGAGTTTTCATTACAGGAAAATGTTTTCAACTCGGCTGCATTTGTTTACTTCAATGTAAGTTTTTTACATTGCCTAACCTTTTATTTGCAGATAATCCAAAAGCACAGTTACAGAATTTTTTGTTTTTTGTTTGGCATACTTTGCTAATCTGGAAGAAAACCTATCATTGATGATTTAGCTTGTGCAATTGTGAGTCATAGACTCGTAAAATAATTGGATAATTGGAACTAATAGTTGCTTTTTTGGGTCAGACAAAACCCATGCAGTGGATTATTGACAACATAGCTGATCAATCAATTTTGAACACTGCTGCATGGAGATACATTGTTCCTCAGTTGTACAAGCAGTACCCGGATGATGACATGAATCTTAATATATCTGTAACATCTCATCCCATCATAAAAGTTTCGGCTACTGGCATTTATGTCACCACTCCTTTAGATGTGACAATTGATGTTTTAGAACCGGGAGCAGTTGTACCGGTTGCTTGCATCTCATCGGTATGCCTAATTGAAATGATATCAACCGTGGCTGCAATTTTTTGTGCTCTATTCTTTACCTTGACATATCATGCCTCTTTTCTAATTTTTTATTCCAATTACTTATTGACATTATTTTTTTTGTATTTATTTAAGAGTTTGTTTGGGATTGATAGAATGAACATTACTATATTTTTTGTTACTCAACCAGCAGATTAGAATAAGGTGTCTGAAATTTATCTATAAACAGCAAAGAAGCTATTCTGGACCATTTAAGATGTCTTATAATTCCCAATAACATAACCTAATGGCTGAAGCTGAAGATACTAGTTGCTTTCTTTGTTTCCTTTTCATAATTGAAAACCTTTCTATTATAAGCCGAGAAACTGTTATTGTCAGGCAGTTAAATAAGTCGTTGATGGTGGTTACTAATCGTTGTTTATGGTGCAGGTAATAACTGCATCGTGCTCTCCAGAAATACGTCCGGATAATCTAGCTGGTACCATCAAATTGATTGACTTCACCGCATCTTTGAAGTGGAGCAAAATTGGAGACCTTCAGATACATCTACTTGAGGTAAACCATGTTAAATAAACTTTCAGTAGAACCAACCTTACTCGAAGTAACCATTTTAGCGTTGAGTAATATTACTTATATTGAAACTTACAATATTATTAGTTGTAACTATAAATGTTTTAACCCTTAATTATAGTTTTTGGAAATGGCTATTCTTTAAATGGTAACATCAAAGGGCTAAAATCTAGTATTCAAAAAAAGAATATTGTGGGCTTAAAATTACTGTAAGCTTCTGCTTTAAAGTTCCTTAATCAATCTGGAATGGAAATCATTTAGTCGAGATTTTAGTTGTTTAGCTAACAAAATCTTTCCTATCTTGTAGATGGTGATGTCAAAATTGCTCAAAACTATTTTCTTCCCGTACGTGAACTTACGCCTTATGAAAGGATTTCCTTTGTCACTTCCTTACGGCTTCACACTTCAACATGTTAAAATCCTCTGCGACAACTCGAGGGTTATGATCTGCAGTGATGTTTCCTTCAAAGAGCAGTACGATCTCAGTCAGCTATCTATGAGTACAAGTCTTATCTAGGCGAGGAATAGATACTACTTTCGTTCATTTCAAGCGTGTGAAAATATTGGTGTCTACATCCTTTTCATGTAAATTTGTATATATATTTTGATATTTCTGTTGTCTGCCTCCTTTATTGAATTTATTGAGCACTCTAAATGGTGAGATTGGATGGATATATATAGTAGGCTTTGATCAGAACTTCAAACTTGATATGATCTTTCAATCATTGAGAACGGAAACAAGTTTTTGAGTTTTGACAATTAATTTGAGATTGCAGAATTAAGGCTCCTTTGATGATCCGAGGCCTTCTTTTGGATGTGCTTAGTTGCTTGGAACTTCCTTCCTTGGTACGGTTTATGCTGCTCGAAGTGTCTTTCGGACAGTCAAAATCGAGAGCTTCAAAGCTTGAAAGGTTCAAGCCGTTATTTCCTAAACTTGGTTGGTTTTTTTAAATAGTTCAAATAGTTCATGTTCACGTCATTTAATACATAATTTTTTTTTTAATTTTTATTTTTGAAGTAACCATATATTTTTTTTTATAAATATATTAAATCTAATCATCAATAAAGCAAAAATAAATATGATCTTAAAAAATTTTAAATGTTATTTCTAATTTTAAAGAACATAAATTAAAATTAATTGATATATTTATCATTAAAAAACAATTTTTAATTTTTTACAAAATTGAATTGTAATTAGCTTGATCAAGATCCAAACTTGGAGTTGTGTTGATTGAAGTTTAAGCCCAGCCCATTAATAGGAACACATCATGCTGACGTGGGGTATTGTCTCTGGTAGTCAACAAAACAAATCCGGTCAAGTTTCTCTTGCTGAAACTCGGGTTCATGTAAACCGGTCCGGTTCAATAACGCAACACCAACCCCCCCCCCACCCCCCCCTCTCTCTAAATTCTAAAAGCACCCGCACTCTCTCTTTAACCTCCTCTGCGATGCCACTCCCTTCTTTCTCTCTCTCACCAACATAACATAACATAACATAACCCAAATCTCCCTCTCCAATTTACCCGCCAAAAAGGCATTACGCAATTTAACGTCTCAATTTATTTTCTCTGGTTTTTCAAAAATTTAAACCCCTCTCTGCTTCGTCTTCCTCCTGTCGCTCCCGCTCCTTCTCTAGGGTTTCTCTTTCTCATTCTCTTTCCTTTTTCCTCTCATCTCAATCTTTCTCTGTGTCTGCTGCTGCTGCTGCTGCTGTTGCCTCTCTTTTGAAGGTTATATTGATACGACTCCGTTTCACGAGCTTATCTATGTGAGGGAATGGAGGCGTCGGTTAGTAACGAGCCTGGGAATGATTCGTCGGAGGCGGTGGCTTCATCGGCTGGCGAGAAGAGAACTTTGGAGAATGGGGAGAACGGAGAAACCGAAGAGCTGTCCGTTCGATCGCCGAAGAAGCTGCGATGTGGTCTCCAGGAGGAGATGAAGAGAGTGGCGGAGATAGTCCTGGTTTTGTCGGCTATGGGAAAGATGCGCGGCGGGAAGGGCCCGACGGATGCGGAGGTGAAGTTGATGGCGGAGGCCAGGGCGAAATTGGTGGAGATGTGCCGAGAATTCGCGCCCAAGGATATTGTAGGTAGGGATGCTATTGGAGCTGTAATTGAGGATTTAGGTCTCAATGGGAAGCTTAAGGACCAAAGGTTAGGGTTTCGGGGTCCCAAATTGACAATTTCAGAAAAAGTCTCGCTGGCCAAGAGGAAGGTACTTTGTTTTGGTGATTTGCACTTGCTCTTAGGTTTCTGTTAAATTTGTATACTTTTTGTTGGATTTTGAGTTGAACTATGTACTTCCTTGGTTGGTTTATTAAGTTTCCCGTTGTATTGAAACTTGAACGGTTTTTTTCTTCGCATCGTCCAGCTATTTTATATGTTTAACTGGATATTGTTCTTTGATGCTTGTCCAGATGGATGAATCCAAGAAACTTACTGCACCTTCCACTACATTTACACCTCATCCATTGCAACAAAGCGTTGGTGCAGCTACTGAAAGACCGAGTCATCCGCCTATAGGTTCTGCTACGCATACTGTTCGTATAATACCAACAGATAAGCCAAGTCAGGCTCCTCTGTCTTCAGGAGGCTTTCAAGGTTCTTCACGGCCAGGACATGTTACGCCAGCAATCAATACATCTCTACAACATCAATTCCACACCGGTGAAGTGAAAGCACCTGTGGTTTCAGGTGGGTTACCTGGCGGCCATTTCACTCCTAGGTTTGAGAGATCGCAGACCAAATTGGAGGGAGGACTCAATGGTTCGACTAATGCAGCCCAAGTAACAGGTTGGTTTCAATTCTCATGTTGCGGGTGTAAAGAAATTAACATGAAATAGGCCTGGAACAGGGGGTGCAAGATAATAACTATTATATGATACACTCTTATTATCTGGTTATCTGGATCATAATTTTAACAGAATCTTGATCATAACAAATGATGTGTTCGTGCTTATGTGGTCATGAATCACTATTCGAATATTTTTAGAATATTTTTTTTCATTTTTTTAAATTAAGCAAAATTATACCTCAATTAAATTATTTTATACCTAGTACAATCTTCCCTTAACAGGTAAGTTAATACTAAATTGAGAACATTTTTCAATCTCAAATAGGCATTAAATATCAAAGATTGATAGTTGATAATTTTTTAAAAATTAAAAATTAAGATACTTTTGGAACAAATTCAGATTTTTTATTAAGATTATTCCAAAATTTATGTAAAATTGATTAATTTTTTTTTTGTGATTTTAAAGGAATTTAAATATTAGTTATTTTGCAATTATATTATTTTAAGTACTTGTTAATTATTTTAATTATTAATTATTGTGATAGTATTATTCATTAATTATTTCAACTATATTCTGTCTGTAAAAGTGTATTCAAATATACTTTCAACAAAGTACTGTAAAAATATATTTTAGTCAATTATGGATAAAATAGTTCTATCCAGCATCATTTAAAATGAATAAAACATAGTAATGAGTTTGTAATCAGTTGTTCCTAATTGCAGACCAAACAAGATAATAATCTCAGTTTCATTATATTCTTATTTCACTTGGCAAATCAAACGATCCATAAGTATTCCCTACGAGGCCTTGAATATAATAAATTGCAGATGACACACTAATAAATTACTGAGGTTTTAGGGTTTTGGTGTTTGTTCTTTCATGAAATGTGGCATTAATGAAGGAAAAAGAACAAATTTAGGATAGAAATCCTATTAGGCGTATTTCCATTATGGCATGTTGTTTTTTAGTTTTTCCACCTTAGTTTTTCTTCCTAAGTGGTTAGCTAGTTTTTCTTCCTAAGTGGTTAGCACTTTTCCTTATCTGATTTCTAATGTAGTACTGCATTGTAGATGCGCCTTCTTGTGATTGATTGTTATTGAATATCATAGCATGAGTTTCTTAAAAGCTTTCAGATTTTTAACTACTCAATTTTCCTTTGAAGGCTGCATCCTAGTTTACTGCTGATGACTTATTTTAAGTTTTCTCTCTTTATGAATTGGATTTTTCCTAATGTATTTAGATTTCCTTTTAGGTTAATCTTTGTGGTCAAAATTGGCAGAATTAGTAGGAGCCTTTGAATCTTTATGAACATTAGTCTCCATATTCAAATACGGAATCAGATTTATTCAGAAAAAATCAGCTTACTTTTGAGTTTACAAAAATATATACACTGCTGTTTGTTGAGATTTTTGAATTGATATTGTTGCTGTCACGAAATGTCCCATCTATCTCCAGTTCTATTTCAGCTTTAAACAAAGAGAGGTAAATGCCCTTGCTAGTCTAAGAAAAAATGCTAAAATAATTGTTTAATTTTTTTTTTAGGGTTCTGTTTCTAGAAAGCATTAGGCTTGGCTTAAAATATAGGTATTTAGAAGGCTAGCATTCTATAGTTTATTGCTGATAACTTATTTAAGTTTTTTCTATATAGGAGTTGGATTTCCTAATTTATTAGAGATCCTTTTAGGTTAATCTTGGTGGTCAAAATTGGTAGAATGAATAGGAGCCCGAGAATCTTGCGAGCGTAAGTCTTAGGAATCAACTATGGAATTAGATTTATTCAGACAAATTCAGCCTACTTCTGAGCTTACCAAAATATATACACTGCTGTTGATTGAGATTTTTTAATTTAGTGTTGATGTTTTCACAGAATGTCCCATCTATATTCAGTTCTACTTCAGCTTTAAACCAAGAGAGGTAAACGCCATGCTAGTCTAAGAAAAAGTACTATAATAGTTGTTTTAATTTTTTTGTCTAGGGTCCTGTTTTTAGAAAGTGTTTGGCTTAAGTTAAAGGAGGAATTTAGAGGTTCTATAACTTATCAACTCTTTAATAACATTTATGATGTGAGCGATTTTGCTTTACACAAGCGAACTTGTTTACGAGTACTTGATCATTAACTTAAGATCTTCCTCAACTATTGGTGGCTTGTTTGCCTGAGATCCCATCAATGGGAGTTTTCTCATGTGTGGCTAACCTTTGGCACATGAATCCCTTGTGCTGATGAAGTTACTTTGTCTGTGGAAAGTATGTAATTTAATGACTGAGTTATGTAGGTTTTGAGGTTCATTGTTGAGGTTATAGGGTGATTTCTAAAGCTTCTGAACTCTCTCTCTCTGTCTCAGTAATAGTTTTATACTTGGTTTCCAATGTTTGGCTCCGCTAGCCGAAATGCTAGTGGGACTGAGACATTTTCTAGTGGTGGAAAAGAAATCTTTCGACGTGGTAGGAGAAGGGAGCGGGGTGAGAGTGTATGAGAATGGTTGGGATTATCGTAAATCTTTATTTTTCCAGAAGGAAGATTTGAAGTGGTTGCTTCAGAGCCTTAGGGAGTTTAGGTGGGAGAAAGGTGAGAGTGTATGGGAAAGATGTCGCCGAAGTAGTTGGAGGACACTTCGAATGTCTCCGGGAAGCAACAAGCGAGGTAAGCTTTTAGTGTTCTCAGAAGACAAGGAGGTGGTTAGTAGATATTTAAATAGAATAATTCTTCCGGAGGGAGATAAGGCAGATGGTTGATGACAGTTTATGGAAGCAGTCCATGTGGTGGCGGATATCGAGCTGGTTTCTCCGGTTTGGCTAAATGGGAAGGGAGGAAGTAAACTGGGGCTTGGTACGTGTATAGGGGCTCCGGTAGAATGGATGATAAGATGTCTGGATTGTATGGTGGAGTGGGGCGTTCGGTTGGAAAGGAAGAGGGCGACCTTTGCGGCAGTGATGAGAAGGCAAGAGGAGAATGGTAGATGGGTAGGGCAAGCAGTGGTTCCGGGG